CAACAATACATCATATTACACGAGCGAAATCAAAATCTAGTCACAGACGCTAAATTTTTTATTGTCATTTTCACTCCGAAAATAATTGAAAGGAGAATGATGTGGAAGATGCTTCGTCAAATGAATTAGCGGAATTTATGGTTTCATCCTCAGCTAAGGTTGCCAGATTGGATTTTTCACCTTGGGATTCATGGGTCTCCGATCAAATCTCGGGGCTCAGGTTGCCAGATTGGATTTTTCACCTTGGGATTCATGGGTCTCCGATCAAATCTCGGGGCTCAGGGTTTGTGGCAAATTCTCGGGGTTACTTTTGTGCCTTTAGCCCAGGATAGTCAAGCTTCGTCAAATGTTTTCCGATAGACTGTGACCTTGAGTTAAAGTTTTGTTAAGAAATGTCAGTAAAACCAACAAAAATGAAGAATAGTAATTCCATTTTTCAATCTCGGGGTCTGGGTATCTGAAAAGGTTGTTACCCTATCCTCTGTCGGTGCAATTTTTTGGGAAGTATTCTCCCGTCGTATTCTTTATTGAAGAGATTCCTAATAGAGATGGGCCCGTGAGTAATTTTGGTTCACGTTCACGCACGCTCACGTTGATGGTTTTTTAAATCACGCACACTCACGTCCTTCTATATTTTTTTCAATCACCTTCACGCACGCTCACGACGCCTATTTTTTCAATCACGCACGCTCACGCACGGTTTCTCACGGACATTTTTTTGAAATTTAAACTTTATTTATATAAATAGTATTTCATATAAATAGCCTTTTATCACACAATTATTATTACAAAAGCTTGGCCAAACGCCTAGCAAGGGCTGAAGGCACTATTATTATTTTAACAAATTTCGGATATACATACATACTTATGTATCTATTACAAGTACAAAAAACAATTGGTATCAATATTTATTCAACGTATGTAATATTAAAATTACATTAGCTGATATTTTTGTTTAAAAATAAAATTTTGTCGAGGTTTTCACCAAGCAGCACAGTGGTTCGGATAGCAGATCTAGCTGGACGAAAACAGAAAAATACTTGGAGTTATAAAACCTTTGGTTATGTAAGAGTACCTCGCGAATTTTCTGCTTTCTGAAATTAAAAAAATTATACAACAGGCATGCAAATCTTTAAGCGCTGTTATAAAATTTTTTCTGAAATTTATTTGTGTTTCTTGCTGTGATCTTAAATTTTAGTCATGGTAAATAAAATCTTAAGAAGTGAGTTGTTTGACATTTGGTGTTGCTGAAACTTCTAAAAGACAACAAGGTGTCCGTGATTATGTGATTAGTAAATTGAAAGAAATATCTGATGAAAATGCTCGTTCCGAAGTAAATAAAATAAATTAAGTAAATGACTTTAGATTCGTAATCAGCAACCCAGAAAATCCCCAGATACCCAGTTACATAGAAATCTACCGATTTTTTTAAATTTTCGTCCGCCATATTGGATCCGCCATTTTGAATTTTTGGTAAATGACTTTAGATATGTAATCAGCGACCTAGAAAACCCCCAGATACCCAGTTTCATAGAAATCTACCGATTTTTTTTTAATTTTCGTCCGCCATATTGGATCCGCCATTTTGAATTTTTGATAAGTGACTTCAGATTCGTAATCAGTGACTCAAAAATCCCCTAGGTAAGAAGTGGTGTAAAGATCCATCAACGAGTATTTGTTTAAATAGTTTCGTCCAGCTAGATTTGCGATCCGAACCACTGTGAGCAGTCGTGTACGTCTTTCTTCCAGAATTCTGCCTGACGCAGAAAAAACTCTTTCACTAGTTGCTGAGCTAGCTGGTATGTTTAAAATTTGCCTTGAAAGACTTCTAAGAAGGGGCAAATCTTTAGCTTTCCCCCGATATTTTAAAACATCCTCACAACTTTTGTTTTCCGATTTTTTCAAATCTGTATTTCCGTATTAATTTCTTCAAAAACTATTTCTGTAGATTCATTTGTCGCATCTTTGAATTGGTCAAAAGTTGCACGGGTTTTTGCCCTTTTCGAGGTAGAAGGAATGTCATCATCCAGAATTTGGGAATCGTGCTGAGGGCGAGCGCTCTTTTTTTCAAGTGCAGTCTACCTAAGTTAGAGTGGAATAGATGTGAAAATAGTAGCACTTTTCAACTGTTCATCGGCGCCCTGATTCGATTTTGTTGTCAGCACAAAAAGAGACCAGGATTTACTCTGTTAGGCGTTATAAAAATGAATTCAAAGCAATTGCTTTGAAAAAGTCACCCGGTACTATCCTTGTTACAGCACATACTTGAGTGACACTGACATGGAATTTCTTTAAAGCTTGCGCCTAACTGTAGGCAAACCGAAATACTGCAGATGTGCAAATGAATATTACAGAATTATTATTATTCTGCAGATAATAGATAATGTGTTTCGTTTTTTTTTTTTAGATGAAGCACCATAAGTGCATGGAACAGTCAATATACTAACCGCTATCTTGCTCAATTCTGAGGATGCAAATACTTTGTTGCAAAGTGGAAAAAGATATTTCTTCGATGCTGCTCCACACAAAATTTGTAGCCCACAAATCTTCTCCAGCTTTATAATTTGTTAGGTCCACCATTACATTTACATATCGACTGCTGAGTGGAAGATCGACCTATGTCGGTAGCCAGTTCGGAAACGCCCCATCTCAAGAAATTTTACAAGAACGCCCAATTTCAAATTTAAAAACACTCTATCTCAGAATTTGGTTGAAGAAAGGTTCAAAAACGTCCTGTGTCACTTCAAAATGTATTGAAAATGTGGTGTTATAGGGCGTTTTTGAATCGGCTGCTGAGATGGGGCGTTTTTGAAACGAATTCTGAAATAGGGCGTTTTGAAACGTTTTTTGAGATAGTGCGTTTCCGAACTTATTGCCGAGGCAGGTCGATGTTCCACTCAGCAGTCGATAAATTCAAATTTCTACCCATATCATAAATAAACCGCGTCGTAATTAGATAATCTGATGTGCTTAAATCGTGCCCTTGACTATTTGGGTCAGGAAAACTAGCAGACAAATGTATAGGTTTAACAGGCCTTTTCATCCTTTCATCAAATAATATAGATAATATAATATTTTACAATAAACACGAAGGGTATTTACCCGGTATTTATGTATGATATGTTCATATTTCGTACAGAATTTTCTGAATCTTCGGGACTACTTCGGGATTTTTGGACTATTTCGGGATTATCGGGACCATGTCGGATTCCGAAAATCCCGAATTAGTTCCGAGGATCCCGAAAATCCCAAAGTAGTCTCGAAAGTCCCAAAATAGTCTAAAAATCTCGAATAATCCGAAAATCCCGAAGAAGTCTCGAAAATCCCGAAATAGTCCAAAAATCGCAAAACAGTCCAAAAATCCGAATTAGTCCCGAAGATTCTGATAGTCCCGAAAAAGTCTCAAAAATCCCGAAACAGTCCCGAGGATCTCGAAAATCCCAAAGTAGTCTTGAAAATCCCGCAATAGTCGAAAAATCCCGAAGTAGTCCCGAAGATTACGAAAACCCGAAGAAGTCTCGATATTCCCAAATTAGTCCCGAGGACCACGAAGATTTTCGTAGAACTAGAAGCTGGAAGAAACTTGAAAATCTTATTTTCGTTGCATAAAAAAGTATTATTTAGTTGAAAAATGACAAATCAAATTGATTCGCTCTACAAATCAAAGCAAAAATTGTTATTTCTTATTTGGTTGACAAATCGCAAATAACCCCTTCCCACTGACAGGAGCACACATCTACAAAAAATAAACCACCTGTTCTGTTATTTTGTGTGGGTTATTTTTCTCTTAAATAGCAACGGTTATTTTGGGACACGTTCAAAGTGGAGAGGGTTATTTTCGACCCCTGTCTTTTGGTAACAGAACAGGCCTTAACGCAAATGAAAAAATAATACACAAAACCGGTTATCTTTTTAGTTTTTTTCCCCCATTTTATCAAAAAAAGTGAAATAATTAATATTTCTCGGAAACTATCAGGGCTATCGAAAAGCGATGTATACACAGTTTATGGAAAATTTATTTATCTTTCACTTGCCATATCTCGTATTAAGACTGTTAAATTTCTTCATAAGATATACGTGATTAAGTGGAACCACTTTTATTTTTAGCTGAAAATTACAAATAGCTCGAATCCTTAGAAAAAAAATTAACTAGATTTTCGAAATCAGCGAGATTTTACATAGGAATTGGATAGTGGCATCCAGTGTGCATTTTTGGTGTAAAGCAGTGTTTTTAGTAGTCATTGGGGAGCCAAGGCAAATCCTTTGCAAAAATTAGCTCAAAGTGGTAGCAGGAATCAAGCGATTTGTACATATATTACATTTTGCTTTGCAATTTTTATGCCCCGGAAAAATCAACACTAAAAAAAAACTAAAACCGGTTTTCTTTTTTCTTGGGATTACTGATTACGAATGTGGAGCCTGTTTTTTTAAATTGAAAAATAGTCGGATTAGCCTGAAACGTTTTCCTCGGGGACTCTTGAGGTCGATAATTACGAATTTGAAACCAGATTTTAAAAATTCAAAATGGCAAATCCAAATGAATTTTTTTTTAATTTTTAAAATAATAAGTGACCTTAGGAACCCCTGCCATATTGGGTCCATCATTTCGAAATTGTTTCAATCTGATTTCAGAGGACCTCTGAGGAAAATATTTCAGGCGAATCGGATTGATTTTAATTTGGATCCATTTTGAATCCCAAGAACATAAGAAACCGCTTTTACGTATGTGCATATATGCCATACATACATGCATATAATATTTGTTTGCAAGGATTTGCGTGTCCTAGCAACGTGTAATACGTAAATTATTCGAGTTTAAAGTCGATCTATCCAAACCTTTTACCAAAATGTTAGTATAAGCTACTTCATATTTGTATAAATGATGTACATTATTACACATATTAGTACTTCCGCAGTACTGCATTTACGAACTATCCTTCAATTGCTACAATAATACCCACCCATATGTTCTTCTTTTGGACGCGCACACAAAAATCTAGGTAGCACTGATTTGCCCAATACTTTGCTAGAAAACTTGCAAAAACTTCTTAATGAAGGTCCATTAAGTGATGTCGAGTCATCTGACGATGAAGATTATGTTGAGTACGTTTTCAAACCACGTCAACATTTTTTGGTAGCCCTTTGCAACGTAAGTAAATATACATGTGATGCATAAATAATATCATTTCTTTGTTTATTAAATTTTCTGTACCAGTTTTGCAAAAATGACTTGACAGGAAAAACGAAACTCCCCTGTTGTCGGTGCAATTTGGTATATTACTGTATGGTCGATCACATGAAATGCGACGTGGAACATCGACAAGCTTGTTGTGCCTTGAAGCAAGTGGCAGATAACTCTGGTAAAATTAAATTATATGTACACGTGCACAAACAATTACAAACACACACACTTTTTACTTGCACTGCATGGGATGTAAGTTTACGAAAACGACACCGCTGATTGATCGAAACTAGTACGAACGTTGTGAGATGAGACCCCCTTCAAAAAAATGGTATACACAGTTGTAAGAAATAAGTAATACGATTACAGCGCTGCTTGCAGCGTTTATTTTATATGATCTATAAGCCTTATATGTATATAAGTCGGCCGCTGTGGTGTAGTGGTAAGCAGTACGCGCTTTCACTCATTAACACCTGGGTTCAAGCCCTGGTCAAAGCAACATCGCAAAAAAAATATAGAAAAAGGGTTTTTTCTTAACAGCGGTCGTCCCTCGGCAGGCAATGGCAAACTTCCGAGTGTATTTCTACCATGAAAAAATAGCTTCTCATAAAAATACAATCGCCGTTCGGAGTCGGCGTAAAACTGTAGGTCCCTCCGATTTGTGTGACAACATCAAGGCGCACGCTAAAAGTCGGAGGAGAGGCTCGGCCAAACACTAACATATGTGTAAGCGCCAATCTATTATTATTATTATTATTATTATAAGCCTTATAATAAGGTAATTATACTACATATTATTCCTTCTTGTAAGGACTTACGGTAATCCGTATTTTATATAGCCTATAAGCAGAGTTGCCAGATCAGAAACCCAAAAGAAAAACTGGCACGTTTAGTTTGGCGAAAGGATAAAAGGGAGAGGGAGAAGATAATGGGGGTTGTATATGTGTGTATTTAAACAGATCGCACGAACAAACACCATTTGACACCACATTTTTGAAAGTCGAGTGAACGGCGCAGATCTTTTGTCCTGGACAAAAATCTTTTCTTATATTATATTAATTTTTTGGAGTGCCATTACCTCTTTCTGTGTAGGCTTCCGACCCGAGCCGGTGTTAAATATACCATCCACATGATATGAAACTGAAATATATATAGCTGACGCTGAGTTTGTTATATTTAACATTGCCTTAACATAACAAAACAAGAAAAAATAAAATACACGATAATGAAACAATTGTGCCAGATATAAATTTCGATAGAAATCTATTCACAAGTGACTTTGAAATGCTTGTGTATCTATATACACTAGACTGTATCAAAAAAATAATAATTGTGAGAGTTAGCGCTCGCAAAAAAATAAGAATTTTCAATTATTTTATTCCGCTACTTTATTTTTGAATTCAATTCTAGTAAAATAAGTTCAAGTTTGAAGCAGGGCTGCATAACTACATAAACAAAAAAAAATCGTTTCGTTAATTATTAAACAAACAACTTATCAAAAAATTTCATTTGCGAATTGCAGCGACAGTAACGCAGGCAACGATTAACCGAAGGTTGAAGCTTTTACATGGAAAATCTTACGCTAGGCGCACATTGCATCCGATAGGCCGACCGATTTCGGTCGTACAATTTGACCGTCCGAAATGATGCGCACACTTAACCAGATTATTTGCCAACCGTATTTGTACACACAAATCTAGTTTTCATTACAATTTTGTAAGCAGCGAAATATTTTGATACATTTTAATTGACATACTCTAAACATGTGATTTTATATGTAATTTTTTTATTTTTGCACCCAATAAGTTAATTTTTCGCAGTCCATTTTGGTACTTTTCATCTGACATCGGACGAGAGAAACAAACATGTTTGAATTTATCGTCACTGACAGACGTCAACGGCCGATGTCGGTTCGGGCACAGTATACAGTAAACCAGCCTTTGACAATATGCTTATTTGAAAATTAATGCATGAAATATTGTGCATGTGTAGGATTTTTTTGCCATTAACCCATAGGCAACGGCTGGTGTAAAAGTACCGACAAATGTTTGTTGATATATTCGAAATGTAAATTTAAACAGCAAAATTCATAAAAAACATAATAATAAAACAAAATTATTGTTAATTACTACATGGGAGGTGGGCGTAGTTATTGACAGATTTCGGCAAAATTTAATTCTAACCTAAACTATACCAAAGGCAACTTCGGCAACGACTTTCCTTAAAATATCTCAATTTTGTTCGAGTTAGCGTATTTACAAACAGACACGGCTGAACCAATTCTTCTCGTCATCGATGATCGATGTGACCATTTTCCAAAGTCAGCCCTTATTCATTCAATTATTCACTCAAAGTTGTGTCCGGAACGCGGTATGACTTATGTAGGAACTACATCCGGTCACAATCGCTAACGCTTCACTCCTGATTTTCTTGGAATTTTATTTTTCCCGTTATTTTATTTTATGTGACTTTAAAATATTTTTCACTATAAGAAAATATTAAATTTGATTTCATTTGGGTTAACGAAAACGACAACTGTAAAAAAATATCAACCAATACATTCAAACAAATTGTCAAATAAGTATATTTACATTTTTTGTTTTGTCTATCTGGATTACTGTATACTGTGGGTTCGGGTATCGGTTTATGTGTGAGAGCGCTCATATAATCACAAATTAGTCTGTTCCAATAGCAGTCCGGTTTACAGGATTTAGTCAGAACTTACAGGAAGTCGTTCCTATTGACATAAAACCTGTAAGTGGGAACACATTTGAGAGAGTAACTGAGCAACTGTTCCTAGTCAGAAGTTACTGGATTTAGTCCGGAGTTTCTTTTCCTGTAAGTTCATGAAAAGTGTCAAACGATCAGCTGATTTACATGTGCAAACAAAAACAGAAAGCGGTGAAAGCAAAGAACCTTATATTTGTTAAAAAAATGGAAGTAAACAACGAAATATATATTTCAGCCAAATCAGTGTAGTACCAATGACATGTAAACAAACCGTCTGACGTTTTTACAGGAAATAGTGCTTTTTGCGTGCCTATACACTTCTGCATCTGTTCTCCTTTTACTCTCATTTGAGAGCGTAAAATTGTAGTTTGACAGTTCCACAGGTTTTAGTCCGAAGTTCAAAGGAACAGACTAAATGTTTATTCATATCGCCCGCATATAGCCGATATCGGCCGAGCACAATTCGGCCGATGCCGGCTGCAGTGCGCGTAGCGTTACTCATATGCCATATACGAGTATGTACAAGTACGCCTATGTACGATATGGCGTATGAGTAACATTATTTCCTGCTCCTGTTTCATAAAAAAAAATATTGGACATTTTCATTCAAAACATTCCATTAAAAACATTATTATTTATGCATAGATTCTAATCAATAGTATTTGGCGTTGAGGTAAAAGAACAGGCTGTAATACAAATAGAAAAAAATTGCAAAAGATTTGTTATTTTTTATTGTTAAAGTATGCATTTAGGGTACGTGTTTCGGCGTTTCGTTATGTCATTTCAAATATTGAAATTTTCACCACAGTATTATGAGGGAGTGCAATGGGGTATAGTTGGAGTGTAATGGGGTATAGTCGTTGCGCTGGGTATGCAGTTACAGTTGCATGGCTATACTCAATCCCGAATCTTGCGTCCTCGTTCGCGCACTCTGAGCAACGTGAGCAACCCATGCGCGAGATGCGGTAACCAATCCGAGTGGAGCCTTGGGCCCCGGCAGAAAGAGAGGGAGCTTCGGTGGGGCCACTCCGACCTATTCGGTTTAAGGGCTCACTAAAGTCTGCAGCGTCTGTTCACCAGTAGGTGCGGCTGCAAGCGGGTGTCTGCTTGGAGCAAGCGGCTCGCTATATAAACGTGTATTTGGTTGCGAAACCACCCTCGTCCCAGCAATGGGTTGTGCGCTGGGTTTGGGACCCGCCACGTAAAAACCACTTCCAGTGAAGAAGCAAGGCAAAGCCTCGGATGAGACGACCACGGCAAACGTTTAAAGGACTACGATTTGAGGGCATGCACCTGGAATGTCCGGACGCTTAATGGGGAAGGTGCCTCTGCCCGGCTGGTTGATGTCCGCGTAAGGACAAAAGCTGACATCACCGCCATCCAAGAAATGCGTTAGACGGGGCAAGGCAAACAATGTCTGGGGCCTTGCGACGTCTACTACAGCTGCCATGTAAAGGAACGCAAATTCGGAGTTGGATTAGTGGTGGGAGAGAGACTCCGTCGCCGAGTACTGTCGTTCACCCCGGTGGACGAGCGTCTAGCCATAATCCGCATCAAAGCGAGATTCTTCGACATCTCGCTCATCTGCGCCCATGCCCCGACGGAAGAGAAGGATGAGGCATCCAAGGATCTCTTCTATGAGCGCTTGGAGCGCACGTACGAGCGCTGCCCCCGTCATGATATTAAAATCGTGCTTGGCGACTTCAATGCCAGGGTGGGGAAGGAAGGGATCTTTGGAACCACCGTCGGAAAATTCAGCCTCCACGACGAAACGTCCGACAACGGATTGAGGCTGATCGACTTCGCCGGGGCCCGAAACATGGTAGTATGCAGTACTAGGTTAAAGCATAAAAAGATCCATCAAGCTACGTGGCTATCTCCGGATCGAAAAACGAGAAACCAAATCGATCATGTTGTGATAGACGGAAGGCACTCTTCCAGTGTTTTAGACCAGCCAGCGCTTTCGCTACTCGCCTCTCACACCTGCTTTCAGAGAGCGCTCTTCAACAAACCGACATATGCGAGCAGTGGAACCACATTTCCCACTCATTAAGTACCGCCGCCGAAGAATTAGTTGGATTTCAGCGAGCCCGAAAGAACAACTGGTACGATGAGGAGTGTCAGGAAGCTGCAGAGAAAAAAGATGCCACCTGCAGGGCCAAGCTGCGATCGGGCGCAACGCGAGCTATGTGGGACCGCTATAGAGATCTGAAGAGGGAAGCGAGACGTATTTGCCGCAATAAGAAGAGAGAGGCCGAAATACGTGAGTGCGAAGAGCTTGAAATGCTGGCCGACAGGAAGAATGCCCGAAAATTTTACTAGAGAGTTAGGCGACTTACGGAAGGTTTCAAGACCGGGGCGTACTCCTGTAAGAACAATAATGGCGACTTAGTAACTGATGTGCAGAGCATACTTAAATTATGAAAGGAACACTTTTCCGCCCTACTA